TTTCTTTCTGTACAGGTTTTGGACAATCCAGGCCTGCCGAGTTAACCCTTCATTGCACAACCACCTAGTTAAAATCCCTCCTCTGACATTCTCTATCCCACTTACTCTGCTTGACTTTTGTCCAAGGCACTCACATCTGTAATACTTCATGTTTTACTTATTCATTTATGTATTTCCTGTCTGCCTCTTCTTTCAAAGTGAGTTCCCTGGGGCCAGAAGTGCTTATCTGTTTTGTTCTAGAACAGTACCCAGCGTATAATAAAATTCAGTGACTATTTGCTGGATGAGCATTAAAAAAATATTGAATAAAGATGAACATTCAATAAAGTTCAGTGAAAATTCACGTTCGTCACATGCAGATGTGACTTGCATTTGCAGAATGAACTGCAAGCATTGCTGAGGGTGTGGGGAGATAGGAATCCCTCTTATCTAGACAAAAACCTGCCAGTTCTTGGTGCAATTGATTAAGAGTAGGACTTTTGCTGGGCGCCTGGGTGGCTCACTTGGTTAAGCGACTGCCTTCGGCTCAGGTCATGATCCCAGGGTCCTGGGATCGAGTCCCACATCGGGCTCCCTGCTCAGCGGGGAGCCTGCTTCTCCCTCTGCCTCTCTCTCTCTCTCTGTCTCTTATGAATAAAGGAATAAAATCTTTAAAAAAAAAAAAAGAGTAGGACTTTTGGTCCAATGGTCTCACTCCTGTGAATATTCCCGAGAAGTCTTCTATAGGCACATAAGGCGCATGCCCCCAAATAGTCATTGCGCTATGGCTTGGGTAGTGGAGGGAACCTAGGCGTCCATCATTAAAGAACTGGGTCCTTAAACGGGGTCGTGGTGGATATATAGGGTGAGGTGGTGCTTCTCCAACTTTAATATGTATTGTGTCCCCTGAGGATCCTATTAAAATGCAGATTCTGGTTCATTTGGCCAGGGGTGGGGCCCAAGACTCTGACCTCTACTAAGCTCCAGGTAATTCCAATGCTGCTGTTCCCTAGACCACACTTTGAGAAGCAAGGGTATAGACTAGAGTAGTGTTCGCCAATAGAACTTTGTGTGATGGTGAAAATATTCTATTTATCTGCACTGCCCAAAATGGCAGCCACTAGCCACGTACAATTATTGAGCACTGGGAATGTGGCTAGAGCAGCTAAGGAATGGAATCTTAACATGCATTAAATTTAGCTAATTTTAATTTAAAAATTAAAGGACCACGTGTGGCTACCATATTGGACAGCAACCATATTGGACAGCACAGATGGAGAACACTCTGTAGCAGTGAGAAGCAATAAACTAAATGAGCAAACAGAACATGGAGACAGTGTTTGGTGGAATAAGATCCCGTATTTTATACCTCAACTTTGGGGCACCTGGCTGGCTTAGTCGGCAGAGCATGTGACTCTGATCTCAGGGTTGTGAGTTCGAGCCCCATGTTGGGCGCAGAGCCAACTTACAAAAAATACCTCAACCTGACTCTTCACCAACACCCACCTTCCATGTACCCTATATCATCCAACTTAAGATGCTAGTGATTGTATTTGCACTATTATTTTGCATACCTCTGAGATAGAGAAAGAAGCTGTCAATTAAATTGTGATATAATGCTGGGGTGCCTGGGTGGCTCAGGCGTTAAGCATCTGCCTTCGGCTCAGGTCATGATCTCGGGGTCCTGGGATCGAGCCCCGCATCAGGTTCCCTGCTCAGCAGGAAGCCTGCTTTCTCCCTCTCCCACTCCCCCTGCTTGTGTTCCCTCTCTCGCTGTGTCTCTCTCTGTCAAATAAATAAATAAAATCTTTAAAAAAAAATTAAAAAATAAAAATAAATAAAAATAAATAAAAATAAAATCTTGGGACACCTGGGTGGCTCAGTCAGTTAAGCGTGTACCTTCGGCTTAGGTCATGATCCCGGGGTCCTGGGATCGATCGCCACATCAGGCTCCCAGAGAGAGTCCGCTTCTACCTCTGCCTGTGCTCTCTCTCACTCACTCTCTCTCAAATAAATAAAATCTTAAAAAATAAAATAAAATAAAATCTTAAAAAAAAAACAACTACTTTTATTTAGCTTTATAGGATGCAGGCTAAGAATCACAGCATGGGCTGTATTTTCACCTTACTGGGGGCCCGAATCTACCCAATACACAGCTGCTCTCGTCCCCTTTCCTCCACAGAACTTGTATGGCTGTTACATATGAGAGCCAAGGTGTGTCTGCATCACCCGGACAGAAGGTGCAGCCCTCATGTCCCAACAATCTTTGGAGCTGCTGTAACCACGTGGACCCCAGACCCACCGCCTGAGAATTCCCGGATCCTGCGCTGCCCCCCCACAAGAGAGCAAGTGAACCCTGGTGAGACCACACTGCCTTCTACTCTAGCTGAGCTCTGCAGTATCCCGGCGCAGAACCATGAAGAGACAGACGCTAGGATCATCGGGTCATTGCTAGGCAGACCTGTCGTGTGCTGTGCTGGAAAGGATTTAACCAAAAAAGCTTTTGCCAATTTCTATGGTGTAATACTCCTGCTTGGGCTGATATCAACCTACCAGTGCAATGTCTCTGGGCACCGAGTTGGAAAGAGATGTGAAGAGCTCACAGTTATAAACGTAATACAACAGACAAACATAAATTCAAAACATAACTATTAGTGAAAATAATTAGGAATTGACCTTTTTTGTTGACCTTTTTATTTTTTTATTTGTTTTAAAGATTTTTTATTTGTTTATTTGAGAGAGAGCCCATGAGAGGGGGGAGGGTCAGAGGGAGAAGCAGACTCCCTGCCGAGCAGGGAGCCCGATGCGGGACTCGATTCCGGGACTCCAGGATCATGACCTGAGCTGAAGGCGGTCGCTTAACCAACTGAGCCACCCAGGCGCACTATTGACCTTCTTTTTAATATTCATTATTTAATTGTAAGTTTATGTAATTTAATTTTTAATAATGGTTGTGTTTACCACCCGGCTCTCACAATTCCTAAAAATTGACCAATTGGCTCTTTTGGGCTGGTACTGAGCTGGTTCTGGCACTCTCTTCTTTACTTTACTTTTATTTTATTTTTTAAAGGTTTTATTTTTAAGTATTCTCTACACCCAATATGGGGCTTGAGCCTACAACCTCCAGATGAAGAGCAGCATGCTTCACCGACTGAGCCAGCCAGGCGCCCCTCTACTTTACTCTTAAATTGTGTTTGTTGTTTCTTGTCCGTCACCTCCTGCTGGAGCCCAAGCTCTGTGAGGGGAAGCATTTAGATTCATCTGGCTTCTTCACAGCTCAATTCCCAGCACCTAGAACAATGCCTGGTGCACAGTAGGAGCTTAATAGTCTTTGATGAATGAAAGAAAGAGAATGAGATTCGTAACACAATGGCTTCATGTAAATTAGAAGCAACAGCTTGTAAGGAGGCATGTTTTGCAAGGATGCAGGGTATTCAAGGCCATTTGTGTTGGTGCCTGTGGGGAGGGAGGGGACTGGAGCCAGGGATGACAGATGGAATAAAGAAATAAAATGAGAGCAGGTCTCTGCCAGGACTTGAATTCCAGAGGGTGATTGACTCAACTCTCCTCACCTGAGATCTGATTAGGAAAAAGAGACCTTTTCATTTGCATAGACTTTTCCAAGAAACAAGGTGAGTCTTTGCCTTCCCTGCCCTGGACCTCAGCAGTCCCTGCTCACAGGAACCGGAGTTGAGCCGAGGCTCAGGGAGGGCAGTCTTGCTCAGGGTCAGGCTGCAAGGCTGGGTGTTTTCTTCTGTCACACCAGACAATGTGGCTGGGGAGTGCCCCCAGAGAGCGACATGCACCCCATTCAGCCACTTGTCAAGAACAAGGTTCCTGGCTGGGCACAATTAAGCCACGGTAGGCATATCCGTAGGATGAATTAAATGAACTGACGAATGGAATTTAGGATTCTCTGTTTTTTATTATTATTTATCTGGTTTTTACTTTTATTTTATTTATTTATTTATTTTCAAAGATTTTATTTATTTATTTGACAGAGAGTGAGAGAGAGCACAAGCAGGGGGAGAGGCAGAGAGAAGGAGAAGCAGACTCTCCGCTAAGCAGGGAGCCCAATGCGGGGCTCAATCCCAGGACCCTGAGATCATGACCTGAGCCAAAGGCAGGAGCCCAGCGACTGAGCCACCCAGGAGCCCCTATATATCTGTTTTTTAGAGACACTAAGGGTTTTGAAAATGTCTTCTTTGGGGTATGGTGCCAGTTTTGTGCTTTCATGGTCCTGTTCCTGTACGTAAGGGGCCTTGAATAATGATGTTGTGGGGGTGTGGAGAGAAATCCTGAAGGAACATCTCTGGGAAAGGAGAGTTCTGGGCCAGGAGTCTGGATCAAGAGGCTGGGGGCCAGGACTCCTGGGTCTGCGGGAGGAGGGGGCTGGGGGCCTGGACTCCAGGGTCTGAGGGAGGAGGGGCTGGGGGTCTGGACTCCTGGGTCTGAGGGAGGAGGGGGCTGGGGTCCTGGACTCCAGGGTCTGAGGGAGGAGGGGCTGGGGGTTTGGACTCCTGGGTCTGAGGGAGGAGGGGGCTGGGGCCTAGGAGGGGCTGGGGTCCTGGACTCCTGGGTCTGAGGGAGGAGGGGCTGGGGTCCTGGACTCCAGGGTCTGAGGGAGGAGGAGATGGGGGTCTGGACTCCTGGGTCTGAGGGAGGAGGGGCTGGGGTCTGGACTCCTGGGTGTGAGGGAGGAGGGGCTGGGGGTCTGGACCCCTGGGTCTGAGGGAGGAGGGGCGGGGGGTCTGGACTCCTGGGTCTGAGGGAGGAGGGCTGGGGGCCTGGACTCCTGGGTCTGAGGGAGGAGGGGCTGGGGGCTGGACTCCTGGGTGTGAGGGAGGAGGGGCTGGGGGTCTGGACCCCTGGGTCTGAGGGAGGATGGGGCTGGGGGTCTGGACTCCTGGGTCTGAGGGAGGAGGGGCTGGGGGTTTGGACTCCTGGGTCTGAGGGAGGAGGGGCTGGGGGTTTGGACTCCTGGGTCTGAGGGAGGAGGGGCTGGACTCCTGGGTGTGAGGGAGGAGGGGCTGGGGGTCTGGACCCCTGGGTCTGAGGGAGGATGGGGCTGGGGGTCTGGACTCCTGGGTCTGAGGGAGGAGGGGGCTGGGGGCTAGGAGGGGGCTGGGGGCTGGGACCCCTGGGTCTGAGGGAAGAGGGGGCTGGGGGCTGGGACCCCTGGGTCTTGAGTGGAGAGAGCAAGGTCTGGGGAAGCAGGTGGGCAGCTGATACTCAGTTACACCAGCAATCATTTGCTCCGTATGGTTTTCTGGATCCAGGTTTGGTACTTGCACAGGTTGGTGTAGACTCCGGGATAGCCGGGCAGGGCACAACGTTCCATCCCCCAGGACACAAGACCTTGGAGCTGTCCTTTGCACACCAGGGGTCCCCCTGAGTCACCCTGAAGGGAAGAGGCCGAGATGGAAACACCCATGGACAGATGGTCAGAACCACGGGTGTGGAAAACCCAGAGGCAAAGATGAAGAAGGAGGTGGGCTGAGACCACCCCCCACCCCACAGGGCTCTGGAGATATCAGCCCGAAGAGTTGGGGTCACTGCCTTCCCTCTTCACTGGTTCCTGCTGTCTCTGCCTCTTGGGTCTCACTGCGCTGCTCTAGAAAACTGTGTATGCCTCTTTATCTCCCCGCCTCTCGAGTCACCTCTCAGGAAAGGTCTCTAGAGTCCCTTAGCACAGATTTCCCAGTGCCCATATGTAATAGCAGCAACGAGAGCACTGCTCTGCACTCTTTCCATGGACTACCATCTCATTCCACCACCTGCCCTAAGAGGCGCTACCCCCATCTGACAGATGAGCAAGCTTCGGCACAGACGGATTAGGTCTGTTATCCAAGGGTGGACACCTAGGAGGCAGCCCAGCCATTGCAGTCTCTCTCAGTCTCTGGGGAGGCCTCCACTGATTTTCATGCTCCTGAGATCCTTTGATACCCAAGTTCCAGCCCCAAACAATCCCCCTCCTTCGGCTCTGCCCCTGGGCCTCACCTGACAGGAGTCCTTCCCACCTTGGGGAACGCCTGCACAGACCATGCCAGGAGTGACAGCATGGGAATAAGCCTGCCGACACTCCTGATCCGAGGAGATGTTGATGTTCACACATTGCAGGGAGGTGGGGTACCTGGCTGGAGGGCACAGAAGGGTTACAAGTGGGGGTTCACCTTCCAACAGGACCAGGAGTCTGGGGACCCACCTCCTCCTCCCTCAGACCCAGGAGTCCAGGCCCTCCAACCCCTTCCTTCCCAGGATGCAAGAGTACTCACCAATGGGGCTAGATGTGGTGCCCCAGCCTGACACATGGCAGGGAGTCCCTGGGCTGGCGCAGGAACTGGCTATGGTGATGGGCCTCACCGCCCTCCCCAGCCGAACAGGCCGCTTCAGCTGCAGCAGCACCAAGTCATTATTGTGGGTCCGGGAGTTGTACTGGGGGTGTGGCACCTGGCGAACCACACGCAGCACCTGCTGGGTGGCCTCCCAGTTCCTCAGGTTGTGCTTGCCCAGGGCTACGTGAAGGATCCTGGCCCACAATCCCCAAAAGTAGCACTGCTCAGGATCTGACCTGGAGACCCCTCTCCACCCTCTGGCCCCATTCCCTTACCTGGTGATGAATATTCCACAAGTCTGAACTGCTTATGGAGCATTCAGTGGACTCCTGTGCTCTTTCCCATGGCCTGGGCATTCTCTCTTGGGCCAATCCCACCATCCACCCCTTCCTCTCTTGAGCTATACTATGGTTTCTGGCTTGAGTGTAAGGTGATACCTGGGAGTTCTTGGCTCAGTGCTAGGTTCTAGGCTCTGAGTTCCAAGTGAGACTCTGGGCTATGGCTGTAGGCTCTAAATAAGGATTGATATCTTGGAGTAGGCTCCAGGGAGGCTCCATCCTGGTTCCACCCTGGCCCCTGGGTTCTAGATATCTTGAACTTTTGAGTCTAAGCTAGGATCTGGGCTCTCTAGATTGAGCCTGGATCATGGCATACTTTCTAGATATGAGTGTGAGATTCTGGTGTTAGGATAGGCTGTGGGTTCTATTTTGAGCTCTGTGTTATGGTTTGAGTCTAGGTTCTAGATGTTGATTTGAGCTTTTAGTCTTAGGGTAGTCTCAATTCTATATTGAGCAATAGATTCTGGACATGGATACGAGCTTCAGTTTCTAGGTTGTGTTCTGGGTTCTTGCTTAAGTTCTGGTTTATGACCTGGGTTTTAGACAATGGTTTGGGCTCTGTGTTTGAGCTTAGGGTCCTAAACATCGGTCTGAGTTCTTAATTCTTGGCTAGGCTCAGTTTCATACTGAATTACAGTTATGGTCTGGGCTCTTGCTTCTAGACTGTGGTCTGAGCCCTTGACCTCAGATTGAGCTCTGGGTTCTAGATGGAGCTCCAGGTTATGGCTTGGATCCAAGTTTCTAGATGTTGGCTTGCATTCTGAGCTTTGCATTCTAGACTCTGGGCTGAGTTCTGGGCTCTAGGTTCTACATCAAACTTTAGTTTATGGCATTAGATCTGGTTTATAGGCACTGGGTGGGCTCTTGTCTAGGATCTGGGTTCTAGGTTTAGGTCTAGACTCTTGGAGGGGTTCTGAGTTCTGTATGGGACTTCAGATTATGGTCTGCATTCTGGGATTTAGCACTGGGTTGAAGTTTGGGTTCCAGGCTCCTAAAAAAGGAGCTGTAGACCAGACTCTGAATTGAACATTGCATCTAGAATAGGTTCTGGTTCTGTCTATCCTACACTCTGAGCTATATGTTCTAGCTGTAAGCAGGGTTCTGGATTTATGGTTGGACTGCAGGTCTGGATTCTAAGTTTTGAGAGGGGTCCTGAGTTTCTGAATGTAGACTGTACCCTAAACTGAACCACCAATCTGGAATGGGCTCTTAATCTTAGGCTCTATGTAGAGCTTGGCCTCCAGATAGATCTCCAGATTATGTTAGGTTCTAGGTTTTGTGTGGGGCTCTAAGTTGGCATATGGGTTCTAAATTGCCAATCTGCTTTCAGAATCTAAACTGAGGGACACTTGGGTGGCTCATTCGGTTGAGCGTCAGACTCTTGATTTTGGCTGGGGTTGTGGGATCGTGAAGTCCAGCCCCACATTGGGCTCTGCTCTCAGCTTGGAGTCTGCTGGAGATTCTGTCTTTCCCTCTGCCCCTCCCCCTACTCATGCTCAATCTCTCTCTAAATAAATAAATAAATAAATTTTTTTTTTTTAAGATTTTATTCATTTATTTGACACGGGGAGAGAGACAGCTAGAGAGGGAACACAAGCAGGGGGAGCGTGAGAGGGAGAAGCAGGCTCCTGGCTGAGCAGGGAGCCCGATGTGGAGCTCGATCCCAGGACCCTGGGATCATGACCTGAGCAGAAGGCAGATGCCTAACAACTGAGCCACCCAGGCGCCCTAATAAATAAAATCCTGGAGTCCCTGGATCGAGTCCCACATCGGGCTCCCTGCTCGGCGGGGAGTCTGCTTCTCCCTCTGACCTTCCTCCCTCTCATGCTCTCTGTCTCTCATTCTCTCTCTCTCTCAAATAAATAAATAAAATCTTAAAAAAAAAAAGAATCTAAACTGAGCTCAAAATTTATGGCTGGATTCCATATTCTGAGCTGTGTTGGTAATTCTAGGCTCTTATCTAGACCCCAAACCAGGACCCAGCTACTACATCAGGTTCAACACAATGCTCCAGGTTCTTAGCTGAGCTCTGGGGCTCTAGACTCTGGAATCCACTTGGCACAAGAATAGGGGAGGGGGGTACTCACGGTCGTGCACAGTGAGCAGCAGTGATGGCCCACTGGCCTGAGAGCAGGGCCCCTCCACAGAGGAAACGACGAAAGGGACCTGCCAGTAGGGCTGCCTGCCATGGCTGGGAGTTCTGGATGCATGTATAACCACCAATTATCTTGTTCTCATCCCCTTGGCTCTGTGCCATGGCTAGGAACAGGCAGGGGTGGGGTGGAGAAAGCAGATGAACAAATGTTCTCCACCCCTCAACTCTCTAGGATGTCTGGCATCCACAAATCCCCTTTCTTTACCTACCCCCTAAACCACCCACCTCTATCTGCCCCACGCAGTATGAGATATGCCCAATGTTGCCCCCATTATTGCCCCAACACAATCAGGGAGTTTTCTGACAATCCCCCCATCACCTCCATAGTATATTACTTGATCCCACGGCCACCTCATCCAGGGCACTGACATATCTACTACCCTTGACTTTACCCTCCCACGAATAGTTTCTATCATCACTTCTCACAACATACCACAATTCCCTCATTAATCCTTCTCCAACACATTCAAGGAGCTCCCTGTCCTTTTTCCAACCTTCCCACTCTTATGGCCCCCCAGGACCCACCGTCTCGCCCCACACCCACTCCATCTGCCAATCCATGCCCCTCCCCATGAGCCTACCTCCCTACATCACACTCCACCCCCCTTCACCACCAACAACATGCTGTCTTTCCGTTAGTTCTGCAGCCCTCCTTTTAAATAAAACCCAGACAAGCCTGGACACTTCTCCAAAATTCCTCATTTATTTCTCCCCATCTCCTTTAACTCCTGTACCCTGGTATCTCCTGATATCTCCATAGGCCCCCTCCTAAGTGCTCCTCAGCCACGACCCCCAAAACCACACCCATGCCTTCTCACCAGGTCACCCATGAGCCCACTGGGTCCCTGAGAACCCTCCCCATCTCTTCTCAGCATCTCCAGGGGACTGTCCATACCCCGGACCCCACTGCTGTCTTACCTAGAGCCACGATCTGAAGTGCTGTTAGCAGGAGGAACATTCTGGGGGCTGGGGTTGTGTTCTGGCAAATGCAGAGAGAAAGTGAGAGAGAAGCAGGCTGCAAGAGACCCAGAGTTTGAGGGACAGAGACAGAGAGGGCCTTAAACAGAGACCAAGACCCTTAGAAACATGGATGTGCCTCTGTGTGTAGAGGAGGTGCGGGTGGTGTCTTGCCTCCCTGTCACTCCATGGAGGCCTTTTATCCTTGGTCTGGGCAACTGGTCCTGCCCCCCGCCCTTCTCCTGACATTTTTTTTATAGCCCAGTTCTCATTCCAGGGCTCCCTGGTCCTATCTCCTCCTTCCCCTCTCTGGCCAGAGAAGCAGCCACCACATTAATGAGAACCCGCCCAGTGAAGGTGTTTAATCTGGGAGGAAGCCAAGGAGGGGGCACCCCAGGGCAGGGTGCACAGTGTGGGGGGCCTCAGGGGAAGGTGCTGGGAGGGGTGGGGGGGTGGGGAGCAGAGACACAGAGAAGGCTGGGAAATGAAAAAGAAGTCACATATGTAGGTGGAGAGCAAGAGACAGGGTCAGAGAAAAACAGGCTGGAGAGACAAGAGTCAGAGGGAGAGAGACTAGGGAAAGATGGGAAAGGGAAGGAAGATGAATGTGGACACGGGACAGAGGAGGCAGATGGGGGGAAAGACAAGGGAACAGGGGAGGCCCAGAGACAGAGATTCATGGAGAGGGCAAGGTGGGGAAGCCGAGGGGGGGCAGAACAGAGGGAAGAGGTTGGGGGTAGGGGAGCAGGGATGGCGCCCACGAAGTGCTGATACACTGGAGAGGAGGAGGAGGAAGATGCGGGACAAGGCAGAGGAGGGGGAGACAGAGAGCGACAGGTACAGAGGTGACGGGGACACAGACAGAGGAGACCGGGAGGCAGACGTGGAAGGTGACGGCTGCCAGGAAGAGGGCGGCAGGGGGAGGGGCTGGGAACTGGCAGGAGACAGCAGGGGCAGGAGGCACTGGGGACAGTCTTGTCCTCTAGGCTTTCTCACTTTGTGGTTCTCACAGTCCTGGGAGTTTGGGGACCAGGGGTCCCAGCAGGGAGGAAGAGGGTCAGTGCAGAACTGGGGTGCCCCAACTGGGGCTCTGCAGAGGGGCAGGGGCAGAGTGGGGGACAGAGACAGAGACGGAGACCCAGAGAGAGGGAGAGAGACAGCAGTGAGGTGGGGAGGGGCTCCAGGCGGCCAAGGAGGGGCCCTGGGTTCGAGAGACCCCTCCTAACTTGGGGCAGGGCCCGGGCCCTCAGCACCTCCCCAGCCTCTTAAATTCCCTAATGACTGCAATTTGTCCCTGGGCCTGAGCAGGGCATGGTGACTCAGGAGGCAGCCTCGGCACTCTCCCTCTCCCAACACCCCAGCACCGCCCCCACCCTCCACCCAAGCTGGCTCCCAAACCACTTTCCTCCCTCTCTGCCTGGGCTGCTGCTTAGCCCTGTCTCTGTCCCTGGGGACTCATTCTGCGCATTTGAATCCACATGCCCACCTCCCTGTGTGCACTGCTGTTTCCTGTGACCCGGCTCTGAGGGGCTGAAGGCCGCAGCTCTGGCCCTGGCAAACCAGAAGGGCGGGATGCTGACCAGAAGGAAAGACCTCCCCGTCCCCCCAGCCCCCACCCTGGGGCACAGGGGGGCTGGGAAGGGGCTGCCCTGCGTCTGGGGGCCCTTGTGGTGACACAGATCGTGCATACACACACACAGGCAAACAGATGCACAGAGACACGGAACTAGACCTGTAGTCTAGCTAATGGCCCTCGGGGATTTCCTGGGGCAGATACGTCCTGTGGTTATTTATCTATGACAGCATCACCACCAGGGGAAGCTGAGACAAGGAGCCCATTTGAGCAACTTCTTAGAGTCCATAAGTATTTCCTTTTTTTTTTCATAATTTATTTCAAAATAAACAGCAACAAAACAGAATTTCCTGGTAAAGGCAAACCTACCCCCTCCATCTGAGCATAAACCTTGATTTGATGGACTCATGGGGACCCTCCGCTGAGCTGGAAGACTTTGGTAAGCATGAGGTCTCCCTCCACCTAAAAAGAAGGCTCTGAGGGGCACCTGGGTGGCTCAGTCAGCTGGGTATCTGCCTTCGGCTCAGGTCATGATCCTGGGGTCCTGGGATCAAGGCCCGGGTCGGGCTCTGTGCTCAGCGTGGAGTCTGCTTCTCCCTTCCCTTCAGCCCCTCCCCCTGCTCATACTCTCTCTCTCTCAAATAAATAAGTAAAATCTTAAAAAAAAAATTAAAAAAAATAAAAAGAAGGCTCTGCTTATGCAGAAGGCTTCAGTGAACCCAAGGGAGCCCTAGCGAAAGGCTGGCCATGCACCACAAATATGCTCCTTGCACCTCCTTTTTGCTCCCCAGCCCAGCCCCCAACCCCTGCAAGCTCCCACCAGGTTACCCAGCGCCTTCCCGCCAGAATCTAAAACCTGGGCCACCTGCTCACCACTCCACCCACCACCTTAGCAGTTTTGTTTGCCCTGACATGGGTGTGCAAAAGATATTGAATGAATAAATGAATGAATGAATGAACAGATGGCCAGAGTCCTTGCTTTCAAGGAGCTCATGGTCTGGTGGGAAAGGTCAATGGGGCAATAGGAAACTCGGTCCGGGGTGATGTGCCCTCTTGACAAGGAATGTGGAAGGGCCTGATGGAACCCCAGGAGTGGGGAAGGGCTCCCGAAGGGCGGGCTGTCTAAGCTGGGGCCTGCGGTGGATGAGTAGGAGTTTGCCAGGGGGATGGAGGGAGTGTAGGGTCGGGCGGGGGTGGGAAGAGGTGAGGGGCTTGAGTAGACACCTTCAGGCAGGAGGATGGTGACAGAACTCAGGGGGCAGGAGGGAAAAGTGGCCGGGAGAAGCAGAAGCCCAAGGGTGATTCTGAGCAGGGGAGAGTAGAGCCCTTACGGTCCTCAGTGGAGACCTAGGTCCGGAGCTTAGGACAGCTGCATGGTTAGACAGAGGTGGGGCACCTGCGGCCCGCGTGGGGAGACTATATCTATCGAGACGACCAAGGACATCTGCCCAGGACCCTAAGGAAGACGCCGGTTTAGGGGGCAGGGGCTGAGGAGGAGCAAACGGAGAGCTAGAGAGAAGGCCAGGAAAGGGTGGTGGTGCGGAAGTTGAGATAAATTTTTAGGAAGGAAGAGACACGAGGGTGGGACACAGCTGGGCGGCCACTGGGAAAAAGGACAGAGGGGAGATTGGAAGGTTTTCGTGGCTGGTGGGACCGGGGGCAGGGGAGGAGGTGGTGGGTGAAGACAGCCCTTAGATGTGGCAGGGGCGAGAGGTTGTGACCAACAAAGGCTGGTGAGGAGACAGGGAAGGAAAAAAGCAGCTCCCGTTTACTGAGGGCTTGGCATAGCCAGGCGCGGTGCTGTGTTCTTTTATTTTATGCTTTAATGTTCAAAACTTTAAAGATAAATTGATTTGCAGGATCACAGCTCTCTGGCTTAGTCGGTGGAGCAAGCAACTCTAGATCTTGGGGTAGTAAGTTCGAGCCCCATGTTGGGTGTGGAGATTACTTAAAAATAAAATCTTTTTTTAAAAAAAGACTTTATTTATTTATTTGACAGAGTGAGAGACAGTAGGAGAGGGGACACAAGCAGGGGGAGTGGGAGAGGGAGAAGCGGGCTTCCCGAGGAGCAGGGAGCCCAGTGCAGGGCTGGATCCCAGGACCTGAGATCATGACCTGAGTCGAAAGCAGAGGCTTAACGACTGAGCCACCCAGGCGCCCCCAAAATAAAATCTTTTTTTTTTTTTAACATTGCCACTTCCGTAATGGAAGTGGTCCATTTTTTTTAAAGATTTTTTAAATTTATTTATTTGAGAGAGAGTATGAGAGAGAGAGCATGAGAGGGGGGAGGGTCAGAGAGAGAAGCAGACTCCCTGCTGAGCAGGGAGCCCGATGTGGGACTCGATCCCGGGACTCCAGGATCATGACCTGAGCCGAAGGCAGTCGCTTAACCAACTGAGCCACCCAGGCACCCCAAAATAAAATCTTTAAAAATAAAAAAATTGAGGTGGCTCAGTCAGTTAAGCAGCCAGCTCTTGATTTCAGCTCAGGTCATGATCTCAGGGTCCTGAGACGAGCCCCACAACCCGGCTCTGTGCTCCCTCCCTCCCTCTCTCCCTCCTGCTTTCCTCCACTCTCCCTCCTTCCATTCAACAACACAGAGCACCCACTATGCTTGAGTCACAGTTCCAAGCATTGAGGATAGAGCCATGAACAAAACAGACAGAAATCCCTGCCCTGCTGAAGCTTACATTCTGGAATCAGGAGCAATCAAGAGAGAGTTAAATAAGTACAACACGTAATATTACAATTTATCCGTGCTGTGAAAAATAGTAAGAAAGTAGGGAATGGAGTAGGGTCAGGGAAGGCCCAACCGAGGTGACCTTCAGGCAAAGACCTAAAGGTAGTCGAGGATCTCTGGGGGCAGACTATGCCAGACAGAAGGAGCAAGAGTGCCAAAGCCCTGAGGTACTTCTGGGGACCAGTGAGGAGGCCAGCATGGCCGGAGCAGACTGAGTCATGGA